TGACGAGTCCCTCCCAACACCGCCCGCGCGGCCGCATTCTGGACCAGTTGAAGCCTCCGGGTGCTCCTCAAAGGGAGCCCCATATAGAGGGCATTACAGTAGTCCAGGCGGGAGGAGACGAGGGCATGAGTGACTGTGCGCAAAGCGTCCCGGTCCAGAAAAGGCCGCAACTGGTGGATCAGGCGAACCTGATAAAACGGACTACACGTACAATACAATACAATGATAAAATACAATGCAAGCGTTTGCAATTCAGCCAAGCTGGAAGTAGAAGGGGGCAGCCATCTCCTGGGTGATTGACCCAAAGTCACCCAGTTGGCTTTCGTGCCTAAGACAGGACTGGAACTCACTGTCTCCTGGTGATTGGCCCAAAGTCACCCAGATGGCTTTCATGCATAAGGTGGGACTAGAACTCACCGTCTCCTAGTGACTGGCCCAAAGTCACCCAGTTGGGTTTCATGCTTAAGGAGGGACTAGAACTCACCTTCTCTTGGTGATTGGCCCAAAGTCACCCAGATGGCTTTCATGCCTAAGATGGGACTAGAACTCACCGTCTCCTAGTGATTGGCCCAAAGTCACCCAGTTGGCTTTCATGCCTAAGGTGGTGCTAGAACTCACCGTCTCCTAGTGATTGGCCCAAAGTCACCCAGCCGGCTTTCATGCCTAAGGTGGGACTAGAACTCACCATCTCCTAGTGATTGTCCCAAAGTCAGCCAGATGGTTTTCATGCCTAAGGTGGGACTAGAACTCACTGTCTCCTAGTGATTGTCCCAAAGTCACCCAGTTGGCTTTCATATCTAAGGAGGGACTAGAACTCACCGTCTCCTGGTAATTGACCCAAAGTCACCCAGTTGGCTTTCATGCCTAAGGTGGGACTAGAACTCACCGTCTCCTGGTGATTGACCCAAAGTCACCCAGCCGGCTTTCATACTTAAGGCGGGACTAGAACTCACAGTCTCCTGGTGATTGGCCCAAAGTCACCCAGCTGGTGTTAGTGCCTGAGATGGGACTAGAACTCACCACTTGGGGTAAGCTATGAGTATGATAAAGGAACAAAGCAGAGTAGATCGGAGCGGAATGGAATGGAATGAAATGAAATGCAGGCGTTTGCAATTCAACCCAGGTGGAAATCGAAGGGGGCAGCCTTGAAATCACCTTTTGTTCTGCTTTTGATGCCGTCGGACCTTATTCCGAGAATTTCCTCCCCCGCAGGGTGTTTTCCTGGCCCTTGTGCTCTGCCCTACAAGGCACCCTGAACAGTCCCCCAATTGTTCCGTCCCGATGCGCTCCAATACTTCGTGCGGAAGGCCAGGCCAGCCGGATTAAACCAGATGAGTCCATTCAACGCCTTCCCCATATTTCCCCCAAGGAAGGCTTTTTGATAAACACTCCAGCTTCCAGAGCAGGTTAAAGAGCAGTCTGGGAAATTATTTTCAGAGTTTCCACCCCTCGCTCAAAGTACCACTTCCCTCCTCTTTGCACCGCTGACACATTCCTCCTAGGTTGTTTTTTATTTTATTTGTTATTTTATTTTGTTCTCTGCCTTCAGGAAGAGCCACTCACCGCTTCAGCAAATTCTTGCGTTTGATTTTATTATCGTACCGGTTCGATTTTATTATCGTACCGGTTTGATTTTATTATCGTACCGTGTCGCATTGCACCAGGTAGCTCTTGAGTTACAAGCACAGGGGAGCCCCAAATGTATGTTGCTAAGGCCTTGGTGAGGCCACACGTGTTAAATACGGCATCCAGTTTTGGTCACCACGATGTAAAAAAGATGCTGAGACTCTGGAAAGAGTGCAGAGAAGAGCAACAAAGATGATTAGGAGACTGGAGGCTAAAACATAAAAGGAACGGTTGCAGGAATTGGGGATGTCTCTAGTTTAACAAAGAGAAGGACGAGGGGGGACATGAGAGCAGTCTTCCAGTATCTCAGGGGTTGCCCCAAAGAAGAGGGAGTCAAGCTATTCTCCAAAGCACCCGAAGGCAGGACGAGAAGCAACGGATGGAAACTCATCAAGGAGAGAAGCAACCTGGAACTAAGGAGAAACTTCCTGACAGTTACAGTAGAACAATTAACCAGTGGAACCACCTGCCTCCAGAAGCGGTGAATGCTCCAACACTGGAAGTTTTTAAGAAGAGACTGGGCAGCCATTTGTCTGAAATGGTATAGGGTTTCCTGCCTGAGCAGGGGGCTGGACTAGATGACCTCCAAGGTCCCTTCCAACTTTATTATTATTATTATTATTATTATTATTATTATTATTATTATTATTATTATTATTATTATTATTATTATTAATATTATTATTATTATTATTATTATTATTATTATTATTATTATTTTTCACACGTCGTTTTCTCAAAGTATTCAAGAAAGGCCAAGCTTGACAACTGGAAGCACAGCCGGGGTCAGAACTAATGAAAGTGACCGTTTCTCACGCAGGGCTGGGGAAGAGAGACCGATCAGAAAATAAAAGGATTTTATACAGGTGGCTCTCGACTCACAACCGTCTGTTTAGTGACCGTTCAAAGTCAGAGTGGCACTGAAACAGAAGACTTACGGCCGTTTTTCACACTTAACGGCCGTCGCAGCATTCCCCCACGGTCACGTGATCAAAATTTGGACGCTTGGCCACGGGTTCATATTTATGACGGTCGCAGGATCCCGGGGTTACGTGATCCCTTTTTGCGACCTTCTGACCATCAAAGTCCATGGGGCAGCCAGGTTCACGTAACTGTGGCGAAAAAGGTCGTAAAATGGGGCAAAACTCATTTAACAGCCGTGTCACTCACTTAAAGACTGCACTGATTCACTTTACGGTAGCGAGAATGGGGGCAAAACTCCCTTAACAAATGTCTCGCTTAACAACAGAAGTGTTGGACTCAATTACGGTCATAATGTGAGGACTACCTGTGTCTACTTCTCTAAATTTAACCTAGATTAGCTTCTCGTTTATGATACGTCATAGAACAAGGCCAATTTAGACTAATAATAATAAGCACCACTTGAACACCATTGGCATTGACAAATTTGCCATTAGTCAATTGCAAAAGGCGGCCTTACTAGGAACCGCTTCCATCCTGTGACGAGATCTGTGATACCATCACACATCCACATCTGCCTATCCCAGGTCCTTGGGAAGGACTCGATAGGTAGACAAAATGCCAAATCCAGTCTGAACATCTGGCTGACTGTGCGATGATCCATAATAATAATAATAAAAGTTGGAAGGGACCTTGGAGGTTGTCTAGTCCAACCCCCTGCTCAGGGAGGAAACCCTATACCATTTCAGAATTTGAAATATGTTTTTTTTTTAAAAAAGATCAGTTGACGAGCATTATATAAAATGGTTTATATAAGCCTAAGTAACAACCTCCAAGATTTCAAGAAGGATACAAATACTTAAGTATTGGTTATTGGCTATTTACTGTATTGACGGGAAAGGAAAAATGAGCGGTGGAAACTTCTTTACATTTTTAATGCTTTACTTTATTCTTTTACCTTGTTTCAGTATCTCACATTTGTGTATCTACAATCTTTATTCTTTATCATTAGCTTGAAATATGTGTATTCTAATCCTATTTTACTGTATTCTACTCTATTCTATTCTGTACGCTAATTCTAATTCTATTCCCTATTCTGTTCTGTATTCTATTCTATTTGGTTCCGTTCTATTTCTATTTCTATTTCATTCTACTCTACTCTATTCTGTATTTCTATTCTGTTCTGTTCGGGTTCTATTCTATTCTATTCTATTCTATTCTATTCTATTCTCATCACATTCTATATTCTACTCTACTCTACTCTACTCTACTCTACTCTACTCTACTCTACTCTACTCTACTCCACTCCACTCCACTCCACTCCACTCCACTCCACTCCACTCCACTCCATTCTCTTTGTAATTCTATTCTATTCTATTCTATTCTATTCTATTCTATTCTATTCTATTCTATTCTATATTCTATTCTAGTCTATGTTCTATTCTATTCTATTCTATTCTCTTTGTAATTCTATTTCTATTCTAGTCTATTTGTAATTCTATTCTATTCTATTCTATTCTATTCTATTCTATTCTATTCTATTCTATTCTATTCTATTCTATTCCATATTGGTCAAGGCCATAGCCTATAGAGTTTTATTACAGAGCATCCAAGATTTTGCAGTCCAAACCAGAAGTGGGTAGATTTGCTGATTTTTATATAATAACTTTCTTCGGACAAGGATGAGAAAATGCATTAGCTGAAGGTACAGTGGGCAGATGCTGGAAAAGGACAGCCATTGGTGCAAAAGAAACAGGAGTCAAAAGGCCAGCCAGGACAAGAAAACAGAATTAATGTCCTAGGAAAAAGTCTAATACTCTTATCTGGATGTTTTACTCCTCTGTAGCACCCTGGGCACTAGAGGAGAATCTGCAGGGAAATGCAGCTACAGAAACAAAGAGGTCGTAAATCAGGGGTCTTGAAACTTGGCCCTTCATGACTTGTGGACTTCAACTCCCAGAATTCCTCAGCCAACATGGGGGAACTATGGCCCCTTCATGACTCCTGGACTTTAACTCCCAGAATTCCTGAGGCAGCGTGGGGGAACTATGGCCCCTTCATGACTCATGAACTTCAACTCCCAAAATTCCTGAGCCAGCATGGAGGAAACTTTGGCCCCTTCATGACTTGAGGACTTCAGCTCCCAGAATTCCTGAGCCAGCATGGGGGAACTATGGCCCCTTCATGACTCACGGACTTCAACTCCCAGAATTCCTGAGCCAGCATGGCTCAGCTTGGAAACCTCTCCCTTTCCCCTCAGCATGGCTGACTCAGGAATTCTGGGAGTTGAAGTCCACAAGTCTTAAAGTGGCCAAGCTTGAAGACCCTTGTCGTAAATTCTTGACTTAACAACCACAGCTGAGCCCAAAATTTCCATTGCTAAGCAAGACAGTCGTTGTGACTTTTGCCCCATTTTATGCCTTTTCTCGCCCGGTTTGTTAAGTAACAACGTTGTTGAGTGAAGTCTGGCTTCCCCCATTGACATCGCTTGTCAGACCTTCGCAAAAGGGGATCACAACGACATTGGGACACCTGCAACTGTCACAAACACAAGTCAGTTGCCCGCTGTCCCAATTTCGATCCTGCGACCTCGGGGATGCTGCTGTGGTCATAAGTGAGAAAAACCTTTGAGTGCCGTTGTCACTCTGAGCAGCCGGTGAACAAATGGCTTTAAGTCAAGAACGACATATAGTTGTTCGCACACACACCCCGCAAAACAAAACCAACATCACATCTGAAGGCAGAAGAGAGAGAGGCCGAACCCAGTAAGTGGAGAGGCCATTTGCCTTCTGCATCTTGTAAAGATGAAATCAGCTTTAATAATAATGATGATGATGATGATGATGATGATGATGATGATGATGATGATGTTGGAAGGGAACTTGGAGGTCATCTAGTCCAACCCCCTACTCAGGCAGGAAACCCTACAGCGTTTCAGACAGATGGCTGTCCAGTCTCTTCTTAAAAACCTCCAGTGAGGAAGGAAGGAAGGAAGGAAGGAAGGAAGGAAGGAAGGAAGGAAGGAAGGAAGGAAGGATAACAGAATAACAGATTTGGAAGGGACCTTGGAGGTCATCTAGTCCAACCCCCTGCTCAGGCAGGAAACCCTATACCATTTCAGACAAATGGCTGTCCAGTCTCTTCTTAAAAACTTCCTGTGTTGGAGGATTCACCGCTTCTGGAGGCAGGTAGTTCCACTGGTTAATTGTCCTCACTGTCAGGAAGTTTCTCTTTAGTTCTAGGTTGCTTCTCTCCTGGATTAGAGGCAGAAGAATGTCAACTTTCGTTTTTCCCAAGAAACGTAAACGCCAAATGTGGCTAGTTAAGTCCAGATTTTTCACTGTAAGCCCCTTGCAAGAAGCCAAAATCATAACATTGTTCCCAAACCAGGCCTCTTTCACCTTAGGTATCCTGCCTTGAGCGGGGGGTTGGACTAGAAGACCTCTGAGGTCCCTACCAGCTCTAGGATTCTACCTTCTATTAACACAGTTTTTCAGCTTTCCTGATCAGCTTGCCATCGAGAAACTAGGTTAAAAGACTTTTTGTTTCTTTGTCATTGAAATTGTCACAGAACGCAAACTGACTATCTAAATTGCTCGGTTTTCAGGGAGCCCTCTTGCAGAGCGGGGCGTGACGTCGCCCAGTAGCTACGTGTCCTTCGTGGCCACGGACGCCGATAACCCTTTCACCACCGCCACGGTGGAAAACACGGACTCCCCCGTGTGGGATTTTCAGCAGCAGACAAGGTAGGTTAAGACGTCCCGAAATAATCCGGTCGGAAATAACGCAAGGCGTTCAGAATTGTCCATCATAAATACGAGCCGGTTGCCAGGTGTCTTGAATTTTGGTCACGTGGCCCTGGGATTGCCGCAACGGCCGTCAGTCTGAAAATTGGTCACTCTTCTTTTTTCCAGTGCTGTGGTAACTTTGAAAGGTTACTAAATGGATTGTTGTACATGGAGGGCTGCTTGTAGCAGCTCTTGGTAAGGTTTTTGCATTCATTTTTGTGTTCTTTGATATCAGTGAAATGTAAAAGTGGTGTTTACATGGAAATAGAATAGAATAGAGTAGAATAGAATAGAATAGAATAGAATAGAATAGAATAGAATAGAATAGAATAGAATAGAATAGAACAGAAATACAGAATAGAATAGAATAGAATAGAATAGAATAGAATAGAATAGAATAGAATAGAATAGAAATACAGAAGAGAAGAGAAGAGAAAAATACAGAATAGAATAGAATAAAAATATAGAATAGAATAGAATAGAAATACAGAAGAGAAGAGAAGAGAAATACAGAAGAGAAGAGAAGAGAAATACAAAATAGAACAGAATAGAATAGAAATATAGAATAGAAGATAATAGAATAGAAATACAGAAGAGAAGAGAAAAGAAAAATACAGAATAGAATAGAATAAAAATATAGAATAGAATAGAATAGAATAGAATAGAATAGAATAGAATAGAGCTGGAAGGGACCTTGGAGGTCTTCTAGTCCAGCCCCCTGCTCAAGCAGGAGAACCTATACCATCTCAGACAGGTGAATGTCCAGTCTCTCCTTAAAAACCTCCAGTGATGGAGCGCCCATGATTTCTGGTGGCAAGCTGTTCCACTGGTTAATTGTTCTAACTATCAGGAAGTTTCTCCTTAGTTCCAGGTTGTTTCTCTCCTTGATTAGTTTCCATCCGTTGCTTCTTGTCCTGCCCTCTGGTGTTCTGGTGAACAACCTGACCCCCTCTTCTTTGGGGCAGCCCCTCAAATACTGGAACCCCGCTATCATGTCTCCCCTATTTCTTCTTTTCTTTAGACTAGCCAAACCCAAGTCCCGTAGCCGTACTTCGTATGTTTTAGACTCCAGGCCTTCATCTGAGTTGCACGTGGGTCTGTGTTTTTGCCTTCCTTGTAATATGTAGAGAGGCATAGCATTAAACACTGAGATCATTGAAATGTGAGCTGCCAGCATATTTAAAATGCTGATAACAGCAAGATTATGTTTTGCTTGTGTTTTGAGACAGGGCCGAAAAGGAGCAAAAAAACCTTGACCTGTAGGTTGTTCTGGAAATACAATCATGGTTGCTATTTTGTGCCCATAGAAACCAGGATTCTAGACCAGCCAGGTTTATCCTTTCTGTTTTTCTAAACATTCCCACCTTCATCTATAGAGGGCTGGGAACGCTCCTCGGCTTATGACCACAATTAGAATAGAAAAATAGAGTTGGAAGGGACCTTGGAGGTCTTCTAGTCCAACCCCCTGCTCAGGCAGGAGACCCCATACCATTTCAGACAAAGGGCTGTCCAGCCTCTTCTTAAAAACTTCCACTGTTGGAGCATTGACAACTTCTGGAGGCAGGTAGTTCCACTGACTAATTGTCCTCCCCATCAGGAATTTTCTCCTTAGTTCCAGGTTGCCTTTCTCCTTGATGAGTTTCCATCCGATGCTTTTTGTCCTGCCTGCAGGCACTGAAAAAAAGTAACTTAGGACCGTTTTCCACACTTACGACCATTGTAGCAGCCCCACGGCCAGGTGATCAAAATTTGTACGCTTGGCAACTGACTCGTGTTTATGACGGTCGCGGTGTCCCCCCGGGGTCACGCGATCCCCCAAACAGAATTCAGGAAGCCAGATTCTCTTAACAAAGGCAGTGAGGTCCTGAACAGCTGAGGCCAGGAAAGTCGTAAAACGGGACAGGACTCATTTAAGGACCGTCTCGCTTAGCAACGGAAATGTTGGGCTCAACGGTGGGTCATGTGCCGAGGACTGCCCGTACACCAAAAGCTTTCCCGACAACCTGCTGGAAAGTGACATTTCCTCCAGCGATCGTGTAAACCTGTTTCTGATTTCTTTTGCAGACTCTCCAAGGAACTTCTGTTGGATTCCCAGAAAACTCTGGTCTTTAAAGTCTGGCATAAAGCAGGTACCCCTTTCTCCAATCAGAATTCCTTCCCGGCAAGCCAGCTCTGACTCAGTAATAATAATAATAGTAAAGTTGGAAGGGACCTTGAAGGTCACCTAGTCCAACCCCCTGCTCGGGCAGGAAACCCTATACCATTTCGGACAAATGGCTATCCAGTCTCTTCTTAAAAACTTCCAGTGTTGGAGCATTCGCCGCTTCTGGAGGCAGGTAGTTCCACTGGTTAATTGTTCTAACTGTCAGGAAGTTTCTCCTTAGTTCTAGGTTGCTTCTCTCCTTGGTTAGTTTCCATCCGTTGCTTCTTGTCCTGCCTTCAGGCGCTTTGGAGAAGAGCTTGACTCCCTCTTCTTTGGGGCAGCCCCTGAGATACTGGAACACTGCTATCATGTCCCCCCTCATCCTTCTCTTCATTAAACTAGACATACCCAATTCCAGCAGCCGTTCAGTGATGCCGAACCTTTTAGAGACCGAGTGCCCAAAACCTGGCCCTGCCCTCGCTCCACCCCCCTGCCCCGCCTCCGCCACAGATCGCCCAGGCAGCCCAGCAGCGCTACGGCGGCCACGCCCTCTGCCCGCGCCCTGCGGCATCAACTGTGCGTGATGGGGCCAGGGCTGTGGAGTCGGAGTCGGAGGAAATTTTGGGTACCTGGAGTCGGAGTCGGCAAACAATGCACCGACTCCGACTCCTACTAAATTTAGATTGGAATTTAAAAAAAAAAGCAAGTTTAAATGTCCCAATTCACAATAAGTTACAATTAATGACTTCTCTACTGTAAGAATAAAGACCAATGCATGCAGTGCCTCACGTAACCGCAAAACGAACACGTTAAGTGACCGTGAAGAAGCATGCTTTTCATGTGCTTCACTATATGGCACGCAACGCACAGTTAGGAGCGGCAATACTTATACTTTCCATAGTGTTGTGTTCTGCTGTTACAGGGAACGCAGCAGCGCCCATGGGTAACCTAGCCTCTCACTGATAAGGGATTAAGTAAATATGTTCTTTGCAGGACTAGAGACACTTGTATAAGTGAAGGGAATGGAGGGTCAATAGTTCAAGACTGAAGCTGTAAACCATTGGAAAAACTGCTGTCATTCAGCTAAGGCTATAAAAACTTGTAAACTCCGATTGTTAGCTTAAACTTTAAACATGACTATGGGATTCTACTAGGGAAATCACGTTTTATAATAAATGCCCCTTCCTGGATCCTCCCACTGTTGCCTTTCTTTCCTTCAAGGAATGTATAAAATACATTCGCATATTAATACAGAGGAGTCAGAGTCGGGGAGTCGGAGTCGGAAGTACAAAAAATTGAGGAGTCGGAGTCGGGGCATGAGGGCAGAGTCTTGTCCACACTGCCTGGCTGCCATGTCCTTGGCTGCGCTGCTCCGTATGGGCCACGCTCAGGGTCGACTCTCCTCCAGGGGGGCTGCTGGAGAGGAGGGGGTCGCGGGGGGAGTCGAGGCTGGGGCAACGGGAAGTGTGCCCACAGAGAGGGCTCCGAGTGCCGCCTCTGGCACCCGTGCCATAGGTTCGCCACCACTGCTCTAACTGTAGCGTAGCCATCTTTTTTTTAAAAAAAAATTGATGGATTGCAAGCTATCCGCCTATCCACCCTGTGCTGTGATATTCATTGTTGTTTGCGTATTGCTCACGTATTCATTTGTGGTTTGCACATCTTACAGTCACAGTGTATTTCGGTAAATGGATACCGAAAGAAATGTACTACTGCTGGTACTAATGGTCAGTCAGAAGCCAAGAATGGGATGGGATGGGATGGGATGGGATGGGATGGGATAGAATAGAATAGAATAGAATAGAATAGAATAGAATAGAATAGAATAGAATAGAATAGAATAGAATAGAATAGAATATGGAATGGAATGGAATGGAATAGAAATAGAGTAGAGTAGAGTAGAGTAGAGTAGAGTAGAGTAGAGTAGAATAGAATAGAATAGAATAGAATAGAATAGAATAGAATAGAATATGGAATGGAATGGAATGGATTAGAATAGAAATAGAAGAATAGAATAGAATAGAATAGAATAGAATAGAGTAAAGTAGAGTAGAATAGAATATGGAATGGAAATAGAATAGAATAGAAATAGAATAGAAATAGAATAGAGTAGAGTAGAGTAGGAATAGAATAGAAATAGAATTACAAAGAATAGAATAGAATAGAATAGAATAGAATAGAATAGAATAGAATAGAATAGAATAGAATAGAATAGAATATGGAATGGAATGGAATGGAATAGAAATAGAAGAATAGAATAGAATAGAATAGAATAGAATAGAATAGAATAGAAATAGAATAGAGTAAAGTAGAGTAGAGTAGAATAGAATATGGAATGGAAATAGAATAGAATAGAAATAGAATAGAGTAGAGTAGAGTAGGAATAGACTAGAAATAGAATTACAAAGAATAGAATAGAATAGAATAGAATTACAAAGAATAGAATAGAATAGAATAACAAAGAATACAATACAATACAATACAATAGAAATACAGAATAGAATAGAATATGGAATGGAATGGAATAGAAATAGAAATAGAATAGAGTAGAGTAAAGTAGAGTAGAATAGAATATGGAATGGAAATAGAATAGAATAGAAATAGAATAGAAATAGAACAGAGTAGAGTAGAGTAAGAATAGAATAGGAATAGAATTACAAAGAATAAAATAGAATAGAATAGAATAGAATAACAAAGAATACAATACAATACAATAGAAATACAGAATAGAATAGAATATGGAATGGAATGGAATGGAATAGAATAGAATAGAATTACAGAATAGAATAGAATAGAATAGAATAGAATAGAATAGAATAGAATAGAATAGAATAGAATAGAATAGAATAGAATAGAATAGAATAGAATAGAATAGAATACGGAATGAAACGGAACAAACAGAACAGAATAACAGAGCTGGAAGGGACCTTGGAGAAACCGAGGTTTCTCGTCGCGAGGTGCAAATTTTGGCCGGCGCCGCTGAGACGGCCGGCGTGCTTTGACCTGGCCGTTTTCCCTGCAGACGTGGAGCGAGTGATGGGCTTCGCCTCCGTGGACCTCTCGCCCCTGCTCTGCGGCTTCCAGCACATCTGCGGCTGGTACAACGTCACCGACCTCAGCGGGCAGTGCCGGGGGCAGGTGAAAGTCGCCGTCTGCCCGCTCGAAAATATCGCTCACCTGAAAGGAGAGAGGCAGGCCAGAAGCTGCCAGGTAAAAGCACCACACACACACACCCCCTTCCTCTTTCATGGGACCGAAGGGCCTGCAGAAGTTTGGATTTAATTGTTTTATTGTTTTATTAATGTATTGTTTCATCAGTTCATTGCTTTATTTATTTATTTATTTATTTATTGTTTTATTGTTTTATTAATTTATTGTTTTATTTATTCATGTTTTTTGTTTTGTTTTGTTTTATTGTTTTATTTATTTACTGTTTTATCCATTTATTTTACCAGTTTATTGTTTTATTTATCTATTGTTTTATTAATTTGTTTTATTTATTTATTTATTTATTGCTTTATTTATTCATTTTTGTTTCTTGTTTCATTGTTTTATTGTTTTTTATTGTTTTATTTATTGATTTGTTCTTTTGAGGGGTTTTTTTTTGTTTTATTTATCGTTGGTTTCATTGTTTTTTATTTATTTATTTATTTATTCTCAATTTCTCTCTTTCCTGTTTCTTTGCTGACTGCAAGTAATCCTCAACTTACAACCATTCATTCTGCGACTGTTCAAGGGTACAACAGTAGCGAAAAATCTAACTTGTGACCCATTTTTTTCCACATGTGATCAGTTAAGCCGCTTGGACAACTGATTCATACATATGACGGTTGCATAAGTCCCCAGGGTCACGTGATTCCCTTCTGCGGCCTCCTGACCAGCAAAGTCAATAGGGAAGCCAGATTCGTTTTAACAACTGGGTTATTAACTTATCCATTGCAGTGATTCACTTAAAAACCATGGCAAGAAAGGTCATAAAATGGAGCAACACTCACCTTAACAAGTGTCTCACTTGAGAACAGAAATTGGGGGCTCAATTGTGGTCGTAGGTGGAGGACTACCTGTACTTCTGGCAAGCTTTTGCCAGATCCTAACCAACCAATTGCCCAATTGTGAATTGGGACGGTTCCCAATTTTTCCACAGACTGGGGCCAGGAGGGATAATAATAATAATAATAATAATAATAATAATAATAATAATAATAATAATAATAATAATAATAATAATAATAATAATAATAATAATAATAATAATAAAGCAAGGGTAGTACCAATAGTAATAGGCGCCTTGGGTGCAATCCCAAAACAACTGGAGCACCACTTGAACACCATCATCAGCATTGACAAATTCCCCCTTAGTCAATTGCAAAAGGCGGCCTTACTAGGAACTGCTTCCATCCTGCGACGAGATCTGTGATACCATCAAATATCCACGTCTGCCTATCTCAGGTCCTTGATAAGGACTCGATAGGTAGACAAAAATGCCAAATCCAGTCTGAACATCTTGCTGACTGTGATGATTAATAATAATAATAATAATAATAATAATAATAATAATAATAATAATAATAATAATACAGTTGGAAGGGACCTTGGAGGTTATCTAGTCCAACCCCTTGCTCAGGTAGGAAACTCTATATCGTTTCGGACAAATGGCTGTCCAGTCTCTTAGAATAGAATAGAGCTGGAAGGGACCTTGGAGGTCATCTAGTCCAACCCCCTGCTCAGGCAGGAAACCCTATAACATTTTGGACAAATGGCTGTCCAGTCTCTTCTTAAAAGCTTCCAGTGTTGGAGCGTTCACTGCTTCTGGAGGCAGGTTGTTCCACTGGTTAATTGTTCTAACTGTCTGGAAGTTTCTCCTTAGTTCCAGGTTGCTTCTCTCCTTGATTAGTTTCCATCCGTTGCTTCTTGTCCTGCCTTCAGGCGCTTTGGAGAAGAGCTTGACTCCCTCTTCTTTGGGGCAGCCCCTGAGATACTGGAAGGCTGCTATCCTGTCCCCCCACGTCTTTCTCTTCATTAAACTAGACATACCCAATTCCAGCAGCCTTTCCTTATATGCTTTAGCCTCCAGTCCCCTAATCATGTTTTATGTTGCTTGCTCATCTGCCGCTCACCTCCAGCTGGACGGCCCGGTTCCTAACAGGTCATGGAACAGGAATGTGCTGGAGATGCCCACCTTAAGGCCTTTTGCTTCGCAGGCCAAGGACCCGTATCCTCCGTTCTCCTCCTCCTCCTTCTCCACAAGAGGCACGCCCAGATTTCCAGGTTCTCCATGGAAGAAGAGCCCAGAAGCTTCCGGTCCTGCCAGGTGAGACAAAACAAGAGGTAGATGGTTTTTCCAAAATGGTTGCAGGGCTGCAAAATTCTGGCATAGTGTTGGGCTGGGGTACCTCGCATTGTGGATCTGAGGCCTTCCCCCAAATTCCGGCAGGCTAAAATTTCAGATTTTACCTCCTCTGTTGTGTCATTTGACAGCAAGATGAGTTGCATATACGGATGGATGGACAGGCAGGAATAGAAGATGATTGAGAGAGAGAGAGAGAGAGAGAGAGGGAGAGAGAGAGAGAGAGAGAGAGAGAGGGAGATAATAGATAGATAGATAGATAGATAGATAGATAGATAGATAGATAGATAGATAGATAGATAGATAGATAGATAGATAGATAGATAGATAGATAGATAGATAGATAGATGATAGATAGATAGATAGATAGATGAGAGAGAGAGAGAGGCAGGCAGGCAGGCAGGCAAGCAGGAATAGAAGATGATAGGTGGATTGATGGATAGATAGATGGACAGATAAATAGTTAATAGATGGATTGATAGATAATAGATAGTAGAGAGAGAGAGAGAGAGATAGTAGTAGATAGGTAGAGAGAGAGAGAGAGAGAGAGATAGGCAGGCAGTAGCCAGGAACAGAAGATGATAAATGAATGGATGGAGAGAGAGAGAGAGGCAGGCAGGCAGACAGGCAGGCAGGTAGGAATAGAAGATGATAGGTGGATTGATGGATAGATAGATGGATAGATAATAGATGGACAGATAAATAGTTAATAGAGGGATAGATAGTAAATAGAGAGAGATAGTAGATAGGTGGATAGAGAGAGAGAGGCAGGCAAGCATGCAGGAATAGAACATGATGGATGGATGGATAGATGGATAGATAATAGATGGATAGATAAATAGTTAATGGATGGATGGATGGATGGATGGATGGATGGATGGATGGATGGATGGATGGATAGATAGATAGATAGATAGATAGATAGATAGATAGATAGATAGATAGATAGATAGATAGATAGATAGATAGATAGATAGATAGATGATAGGCAGGCAGGCAGGCAGGCAGGAATAGAAGATAGATGGATTGGTGGATAGATAATAGATGGATAGATAAATACTAGATAGATGGTAGATAGATAGATAGATAGATAGATAGATAGATAGATAGATAGATAGATAGATAGATAGATAGATAGATAGATAGATAGATAGATAGATAGATAGATAGATAGATAGATAGATAATGTGTTTGAACTTTCCTTGGGGGCAAATAGAAAACGTTGATGCTGCTCCAACCCTAGCTGATGTTGTCTCTTCCTTAGCAGGACTGGATCCCGTTACAAAGAGCACGTGCAGAATGTCCGACGGTTCCACACGTCGTTACAGCAAGCGGAAGAAAACACGGACCCCCTTGGAAGGCTCGATTCACTCTCCGGTCCCTCGCAGACGTCTCTCTTCAGAGCTCTCAGGTGAAAAGATTAAGCAAGGCTGGGCATGAATGTCACAGTAGCCAGAGCAAGGACTCAGGGGTGAAGTCACCAGAAAGCAGGGCTCTTCCAACTTGGCCCTTGTGGACTTCAACTCCCAGAATTCCTCAGTCAGCCATTTTGATGAAACTGCGGACTTAGATCTAGACCAGGAGTCTTCAAACTTGGCCCTTTGATGACTTGTGGACTGTGCCTGGCTGAGGAATTCTGGGAGTTGAAGTCCACAAGTCATCAAAGGGCTACGTTTGAAGACCTCTGGTCTAGATCTAAGCCCGCAGTTTCATCAAAATGGCCGACTGAGGAATTCTGGGAGTTGAAGTCCACCAGTCATAAAAGGGCCACGTTTGAAGTCCAATCCCCTGCTCAGGCAGGAAACCCTACACCATTTCAGACAAATGGCTGTCCAGTCTCTTAGAATAGAATACAGTTGGAAGGGACCTTGGAGGTCATCTAGTCCAACCCCCTGCTCAGGCAGGAAACCCTACGCCATTTCAGACAAATGGCTGTCCAGTCTCTTCTTAAAAACTTCCAGTGTTGGAGCATTCGTTTGAATGCATTCTATCTAATGCTACTATTGAGCCAGGTACCCCCTGTACTATACCTGTACATTTGGTTTTTCTTGCCTAAATGTAGAACCTTCCTTTTTTCACCCTTGAATTTCATTTTGTTAGATAGCGCCCAGTGTTCAAGTCTGTCCAGGTCCTCTTGTATCCTAAGCCTGTCTTCTGTAGTGTTGGCTATTCCTGCCAGCTTGGTGTCGTCTGCAAAATGGATAAGTTCCCCATCTATTCCCTCGTCCAAATCGTTGATGAAGATGTTGAAGAGCACTGGGCCTAGAACAGAGCCCTGGGGCACCCCACTACACACTTCCCTCCATGTAGATGCGGTTCCATTGAGAACCACACGCTGAGTACGGCCGGTCAGCCAGCTACGGATCCATCTGGTGGTGATGTTGAGACTCTAGAAAGAGTACAGAGAAGAGCAACAAAGAGGATCAGGGGATTGGAGGCTAAAGCATATAAGGAACGGCTGCTGGAATTGGGTATGTCTAGTTTAATGAAGAGAAGGACGAGGGGGGACATGATAGCAGAGTTCCAGTATCTCAGGGGCTGCCCCAAAGAAGAGGGAGTCAATCTATTCTCCAAAACGCCTGAAGGCAGGACAAGAAGCAACGGGTGGAAACTCATCAAGGAGAGAAGCAACCTGGAACTAAGGAGAAACTTCCTGACAGTTAGAACAATTAACCAGTGTAACCACCTGCCTCCAGAAGCAGTGAACGCGCCAACACTGGAAGTTTTTAAGAAGAGACTGGACAACCATTTGTCCGAAATGGTATAGGGTTTCCTGCCTGAACAGAGGGTTGGACTAGATGACCTCCAAGGTCCCTTTCAACTTTATCATTATTATTATTATTATAACCCACATTGTTCTATATTATCGAGTAGTAGGTTGTGGTCTACTTTATCAAATGCCTTACTGAAGTCCAAGTAAACTTCAAACGGTCACTAAACAAATGGTTGTAAGTCGAGGACCTGGTGTCCTAGAGGTTTACCTTGTACCTGATCTGTCTTTCAGAAAAAACCTGAACGAGCTGGACGAAATCCAGAGATACTTCAGTGAGAAACTCACCAGACCTTTCACAGACTCAAATGCTCCTGGTAGCACCATGGATGGTCTTGACATCCAGAGAGCTTTCTCCAAGGGGCCAGATCCAGAAGGAGACCATCTGCAGAGGAAGCCCACTCATCTGATTTCTCAAGTTAGCAGCCAGAGTGTCGGTAAGTTGTCCACCATCCAGGGTGGCAGAGGTGGCTCTGGAGAAGATCGCAATGATCCAATTTTATGCTCTCAGTTCCCTTTGATAGTGGGCATAAAATAATCCTTCGCTTACAACAGGGGTCTTCAAACTTGGCCCTTTGATGACTTGTGGACTTCAACTCCCAGAATTCCTCAGCCAGGCACTGGGAGTTGAAGTCCACAAGTCATCAAAGGGCCAAGTTTGAAGACCCCTGACTTACAACACCATCAAACTCAAAATAGAGTAGACTAGAATTCTTCATTGGCCAAGTGTTGATTGGACACACACACACAAGCAGTTTGTCTCCGGCGCAGAAGCTCTCAGTGTGCACACAAGCAACAAGTGATAAGGTTGCAAAATTTTGATTGCGTGACCGTGGGCAGGCCGCAACGGTCGTTAAGAGTGGGAAAAGGTCACAAGCCACTTTTTCCAATGCCGCTGTCACTTCGAACGGTCACCAAACTAATGTTGTAAGTCGATCACGTGATTCTATGTCAGTGCAACCGTCACAAGTACGTGCCAGTTGCCAAGCCTCCGAGTTTTGATCACCTGACCACAGGGATGCTGCGACGGCCGTTAACTGTGAAAAACGGTCATAAGTCATTTCCCAAATCAGAAGCCTTTCCTAATAAATTGCACCCTTTGTGAAAGGCACATACACAATAGCTGTGACTTGGCAAAGCCGAAATGAAAGTATGTTGGTTTCTTGGATATCGCTTCGGTCTGTGACAGTGACCGGGATGGGCTTCTGCCTCAGCACAAAACTTGGAAAAAGCAGAATTTAAGACTATTTGGGCTGCTTTGCAAATATTTTAAAACACACGTCTGGCCTGGTTGGCTTCCTGCAAGAAAATGATAACGTGTGCGTTGAAATTAAATAGTATTTGCGCATAGAAAAAAGGCTGCCTTGGCATATCGGTGTGAGTCTGTATTTCTTGTTTTGCATCCTTCAAATCAGCAGTTTGAGGGGGTTAGTTAAAGAGCCCCAAACCAGGTTCTAAGTGCGTCAGGACATTCAAATATTCCTGGTATAATTATGCAGTAAAGGAGCCTCCGTGTTGCATTTCTGTCTGACTTCAGATTCTGGAGTTTTCTCTTTTTAATTTAGAGTCACAGCTCAAAGAAACATGAACTGGCCTGCTAAGACAGAATTTTTTACACTTTCAAAGTCCCAAAAAAACCCACCATCAACTTTTTTAATTCAGGAAGAAATGCCCCATTAGCTGTCAAAAAAGAGTGGAATAAATTGTTTCTAATACATGTAGTCCTTTACAGAGGGATAGAATCAGGATCACGTGAAGGGTTAATACCACTTTACAAGGCCTTGGTAAGGCCACACTTGGAATACGGCATCCAGTTTTGGTCACCGCGATGTAAAAAAGATGTTGAGACTCTGGAAAGAGTACAGAGAAGAGCAACAAAGATGATCAGGGGACACGAGACTAAAACATAAGGAATGATTGCTGGAATTGGGCATGTCTAGTTTAACGAAGAGAAGGACGAGGGGGGACATGATATTAGTGTTACAATATCTTAAGGGCTGCCCCAAAGAAGAGGGAGTCAAGCTATCCTCCAAAGCACCTGAAGAAGGCAGGACAAGAAGCAACGGATGGAAACTCATCAAGGAGAGAAGCAACCTAGAACTATGGAGAAACTTCCTGACAGTGAGAACAATTAACCAGTGGAACAACCTGCCTCCATAGCCCAGATTTGGCACCGAGGGATGACTACTAAGGGATGTCAAATCTTGTAAGACATTATGACAAGCTCCTCAATTTGAATAACAACAACAATAATAATAATAATTAAGTTGGAAGGGACCTTAGAGGTCATCTAGTCCAACCCCCTGCTCAGGCAGGAAACCCTATACCATTTCAGACCAATGGCTGTCCAGTCTCTCCTTAAAAACTTCCAATGTTGGGGCTTTCACCGCTTCTGGAGGCAGGTTGTTCCACTGGTTAATTGTTCTAACTGTCAGGAAGTTTCTCCTTAGTTCCAGGTTGCTTCTCTCCTTGATGAGTTTCCATCCGTTGCTTCTTGTCCTGCCTTCAGGGGCTTTGGAGAATAGCTTGACTCCCTCTTCTTTGGGGCAGCCCCTGAGATACTGGAACACTGCTATCATGTCCCCCCTCGTCCTTCTCTTCGTTAAACTAGACATTTCCAATTCCAGCAACCGTTCCTTGTATGTTTCAGTCTCCAGTCCCCTGATCATCTTTGTTGCTCTTCTCTGCACTCTTTCCAGAGTCTCAGCATCTTTTTTACATCGTGGTGACCAAAACTGGATGCAGTATTCCAAGTGTGGCCTTACCAAGGCCTTGTAAAGTGGTATTAACACTTCCCGTGATCACGTGATATGAGCCAATTGATTATGTGGTCATGGGGATGCTGTAGCAATCGTAAGTGTGAAACACGATCATTAGCCACTATAACTTCAAATGATCACTAAACGAGTAAATTGAGGACGACCTGTATTCATTTTGTACTCATTCTTTGTAAGTTGAATGTTTCAATTGTCTGGAATGGGATAGGACGGTTCTCCTGCTTGAGCAGGGGGCTGGACTAGAAGACCTCCAAGGTCCCTTCCAGCTCTATTCTATTCGAAAGCCAGCACGGTATCCCTGGCAATTGCACGAATGCTGAAACCTTCCTGCTGTCCCCCCTTTCTTGACAACGCATCAAGACCCCCCCCCTTTTCTTTCCTTTAGATCTATGGGCTAAGAGGAGAAGCCCCCCTGAAGAGTCCTCCCACGCTCACGGAGACGTGGACGGATTCTCAAGTGCTGAGCAGGTCCTCCTTCAACAGGGAAATGGAGCCACCAGGACCGAGTTGCTCCAGGCTCTTTCCACCGATGAATTCTTGAGTGCCGGAGTAGGTGAAGAAACCTTATTCACTGTCCCAAAATCCCCTCTTGCAGAAGACATGCTGTATGAATTCTTTGACCCGACAGACTCCCGCAGAGTCCTTCCATCGTGTCTACCGGACCTCCAGAGGGAGGAAGACTCTTCTCAGTCCCACAGCGAGGAAGAGTATGAAGAGGCCATTGTAGAACCTAGAACCCTGAACGAAATCACCACCGTGACGGACAGAACCAGTCCCTGGTCCAGCTTCGTCTCCGAAACCGAGCGGGAACCCGTCCCCGAGGCCAACGTGACCACGGATGGGGGATATTTAGCGAAAGAGAGCGCCCTCAGAAGCAGCTCCATCTCTAACGGGATCCACGATGATCCTTTGAGCGTGTCCAGCATCGCTGGATCCGGAAACAGCCCTTTCCGAGAAGAAGACGGGGGCAGAGTTGAGGAAGGACAAGATCTAGACGCTGGGGAAGAAGGATCCTCCGCTGCAGAGCAGGCGGAACCAGTGGAAATCCGAACGGCTGGTCGAGGAAGACCACCGAAAGTCCAGGAAGAAGGACCTGAAGAAGCACCACCCGCCCACCAAGGTGGAGGAGACTTCGTAAGACCACCGACGGCTGCTCCAGAAGCGGGAGAAGGAACGGAAAACCCGCAGAGGGACCCCCAGCAGGAAGAAGGAATCCGTGGGAAAGGAGAAGAGGGTTTCCACCCTTGTCCCGCGTCGGAGGAGACCGTGCAGCAGGCCGAGGCCTCGTCCGGAGAAGATGACGAAGACCTGCCGGAAGAGTTCAGCGCGCCCACGCTCACCTTGTATCCTTTTTTTCACCTGGCCAGCGGCGCAAAACGCCCTCACCTCTTTGAATAAATGATGGTGTGTCCACGAGGAGGACTCTTCCTTTTACTTCTTCAGCGTGGCCCTCGGTGCTGTCACAACCGACCCTTCCGCAACTTGACTTCGACTCGCAGTCATGCAAGAGAAGTCCAGGAAGACAAGGGTTGAGGAAGAGGGACCTGGTTCAGAGAGCTTTGAGGGGTCCTTGGTGCTCTCTGAGCTGGGTGGTTTTCTAACAGAGGTTTCATGACCCAAACTAGGTAACGTCATCAGTGCTAGAAGGGAGGAGGAGGAGGAGGAAGGAAGGACTGTGGGGTCCTTGGTGGTCTCTGAGCTTGGTTGCTTTCTTGCAGACGTTTCATGACCCAACTAGGGAACATCATCAGTGCTAGAAGGGAGAAGGAGGAGGAAGGAGGGAGGGAGGGAGGAAAGGAAGGAAGGAAGGAAGGAAGGAAGGAAGGAAAGAAGGAAGGAAGGAAGGAAGGAAAGAAAAAGAAAGAAAGAAAGAAAGAAAGACTGTGGGGTCCTTGGTGCCCTCTGAGTTTGGTGGTTTTCTTGCAGACGTTTCATGACCCAACTAGGGAACCTCATCAGTGCTAGAAGGGAGGAGGAGGAGGAGGAGGAAGAGGAGGAGGAGGACTGTGGGGTCCTTGGTGCTCTCTGAGCTGGGTGGTTTTCTTGCAGACGTTTCATGACCCAACTAGGGAACCTCATCAGTGCTAGAAGGGAGGAGGAGGAGAAGGAGGAGGAAGAGGAGGAGGAGGACTGTGGGATCCTTGACGCTCTCTGAGCTGGGTGGTTTTCTTGCAGACGTTTCATGACCCAACTAGGGGACATCATCAGGGCTAGAAGGGAGGAGGAGGAAGAGGGAAGGAAGGAAGGAAGGAAGGAAGGAAGGAAGGAAGGAAGGAAGGAAGGAAGGAAGGAAGGAAGGAAGGAAGGAAGGACAGACTTGGGCTCCTTGGTGCTCTCTGAGCTTGGTGGTTTTCTTGCAGACGTTTCATGACCCAACTAGGTGACATCATCCGTGTTAGAAGGGAAGAGGTACTGATGATGTTCCATAGTTGGGTACTGAAACGTCTCCAAGAAAACCATCAAGCACTGAGAGCACCAAGGACCCCACAGTTCTCCTCCTCCTCCTCCTCCTCCTCCTCCTCCTCCCCTCTCTTCTAGCACTGATGGTGTTCCCTAGTTGGGTCAGGAAGCGTCTGCAAGAAAACCACCCAGCTCAGAGAGCAACAAGGACCCCCACAGTCCTCCTCCTCCTCCTCCTCCCTCCATGTGACCTCCATGCAGTCACCTGGCGATCCACTTAACAACCAGCCCGACTTGTAACTGCAGACTCAATTACAGTCATAAGTCAAGGACTCTACCTCTTGGGAGTTCCTATGAAGTTTTACGTACTTCATAAAACGGTTGTTGCCTATGACGCACTTCCTGCTTGCTCAAACCTCAGCACGGCCTTCTTCCGATTAGTGCCTGCCAGAGAGGCGGGACTACGATTCCCAGAACCCCTAGCTAGCAAGGGCCAAAGTCTGTGGAACCAGCCCGGGCTCTCCTGCTCGGTCACTGAACCTTTTGCCCTGCGGTTTCCAAGAAAAAGCCGTCAAGGCTGCGGGTCTCTTGTAATGATTACTAATTTCCCAAGTCCTTTTTTTTCCAAGAACGGCCGGAAGTCTGCAAGCCCTTAAAGAGAATCTTAAGCTTTACGGGCAGGAAGTCCTAAAATCCAGCCACCAAAACTAACCAGGAGGACCGGGGGACAGGATTGCAGGCAGTTCTCAGCTTAACGACCGCAGTTCAGCTCGAAATTTCCGTCGTTAAGTGAGACCGTTGTTCAGTGAGTTTCTTCCCCCCCCCCTTTGATGACCTTTCTTGCCGCAGTGAATGCTCCAACACTGGAAGTTTTTAAGAAGAGACTGGACAGCCATTTGTCCGAAATGGTATAGGGTTTCCTGCCTGAGCAGGGGGTTGGACTAGGTGACCTTCAAGGTCCCTTCCAACTTTACTATTATTATTATTATTATTATTATTATTATTATTATTATTATTATTATTATTATTATTATTATTAGTTGTGCGAATCACTGCAGCTGTGAAGTTAGCAGCACGGCTGTTAAGTGGATCTGGCTTCCCCCGTCGACGTCCCTTGTCAAAAGGTCAGATGACTCCGGGACGCTGCAACCGTCACGAGTACGAAACACTTGGCCAAGGGTCTTCATTTGGATCCCGTGCCCAGGGGGAGGCGGCGACCGTCGTGTGGGAAAGGGTCACCAGTGGCTTTTTTTCAATGCTGTTGCCAGTTCCAATGGTCACTAAATGGAGGTTTTTAAGTCTCAAAAGACTACCTGTAGTTAGCCCTGCCTTATCCAGACCCTCTATGTAAGGCAGCCATTGTGCTGAAGCCATCTTTGGGCCGGCGGTTTCGAGGGGCACCATCGTTCCCCAGCAGAACAAAAAGCCCAGATTCGATTGTCGCCATCTCCTGATCAAATCAACACTGGACGTTTTTAAGAAGAGACTGGACAGCCAGTCTCTATAGGGTTTCCTGCCTGAGCAGGGGGTTGGACTAGATGACCTCCAAGGTCCCTTCCAACTTTATTTTTTATTATTATTATTATTATTATCAATCAAGTAACAGATAACAAGGAAGAGGTATTTGTTTATCCCAAAGGTGCTTTTTTCAGGAGGCCAATGGACTTCCTTGTTTTTCTTTGAAGACGTTTCGCTTCTCATCCCAGAAGCTTCTTCGGCTCTGACTGGATGGTGGAAGATGGAAGGATTTACACTCCTTGAAGAAAAACTGGTCATTTGCATTCTTTTAGAGAGTCGTTGAGGCCACTTGGAGGTTTGTCTGTGTCCTCAGGGTCACCTGAGTGGGGCAAATGGGTGATCTATCTATCTCCATTCTACAACACAATCCTTTCAGCAGTTCCAAGAAGGCTCCACACCCATTTGCACACCTACTCAGGCGACCCTGAGGACACAGACAAACCTCCAGGTGGCCTCAACGACTCTCTAAAAGGAGGCAAATGACCAGTTTTTCTACAAGGAGTATAAATCCTTCCACTCCCCACTGTCCAGTCAGGACGGATGGTGAAGATGAGAACCGAGACCTCTTCAAAGAAAGACAAGGAAGTCCAGTTGCCTCCTGAAATAGCACCTTTGGGTTTTTCCTTGAAGACATTTCGCTTCTCATCTCAGAAGCTTCTTCGGCTCTGAGTGGATGGTGGGGAGTGGAAGGATTTATACTCCTTGCAGACAGCCGGTCATTTGCCTCCTTTTAGAGAGTCGTCATTGAGGCCACTTGGAGGTTTATCTATGTTTATACAACACGGTCCTTTCAGCAGTTCCAAGAAGGCTCCACACCCCTTTGCCCCACTCAGGTGACCCTGAGGACACAGATGAACCTCCAGGTGGCCTCAACGACCCTCTAAAAAGAAGGCAAATGACCAGTTTTTCTGCAAGGAGTATAAATCCTTCCCTTCCCCACCATCCGGTCAGAGCGGAAGAAGCTTCTTGGATGAGAAGCGAAACGTCTTCAAGGAAAAGCAAGAAAGTCCAGTTGCCTCCTGAAAAAAGCACCTTTGGGACAACCAGGACCTGGAGGACTGACAATCTCCATAGACATTGTTGGTTTATTATTTTTATAAACAACTCAAGGCGGCCACTGTAACCTAATGCTCCTTCCTTCTCCTGTTTTTCCCACAACAACCCTGCGAGGTGGGTTGGGGAGAGAGGGAGGGACTGCTCCAAGGTCACCCAGCTGGCTTTCGTGCCTAAGGCGGGACTAGAACTCACAGTCTCCTGGTGATTGGCCCAAAGTCACCCAGCCGGCTTTCCTGTCTTAAGGCGGGACTAGAACTCACCGTCTCCTGGTGATTGGCCCAAAGCCACCCAGTCAGCTTTCATGCCTAAGGCAGAGACTAGAACTCCCGTCTCCTGGTGACTGGTCCAAAGTCACCTAGCCGGCTTTCCTGTCTTAAGGCGGGACTAGAACTCACCGTCTCCTGGTGATTGGCCCAAAGTCACCCAGTCGGCTTTCATGCCTAAGGCAGAGACTAGAACTCCCGTCTCCTGGTGATTGGCCCAAAGTCACCCAGTCGGCTTTCATGCCTAAGGCGGGGACTAGAACTCACCGTCTCCTGGTGATTGGCCCAAAGNGTCTCCTGGTGATTGGCTCAAAGTCACCCAGCCAGCTTTCATGCCTAAGGCGGGACTAGAACTCACCGTCTCCTGGTGATTGGCCCAAAGTCACCCAGCCGGCTTTCCTGTCTTAAGGCGGGACTAGAACTCACCGTCTCCTGGTGATTGGCCCAAAGTCACCCAGTCAGCTCTCAAGTCTCAGGCAGGACTAGAACTCACCGTCTCCTGGTGATTGGCCCAAAGTCACCCAGCCGGCTTTCGTGCCTAAGGCGGGACTAGAACTCACCGTCTCCTATTTTCTAGCCTGGTGTCTTTACAACCAATTGGCTCTGTGAAGCTCTGCCTTCTTCTCCACTAGTCATTCTAGATCTAGACAGGTGCCAGATCTAGCGGGAGATAAATGTATTTATTATATTTATATGCTGCCCATCTCAACTGGAGGCAAGCTGGGGATTTAACTCGACTTGGCTAAGAAGGATTTCTCTGTGAAACCTCAGGAAAAAAAGGGGAGGGGGCTACAAATTGACCTCAATGCCCGGGGGGAGAAGAAGGGTCCCTTGGAGGTTCTGACGTGGCCCCAGAGCATTCTGGGAATCTTCCCAGCCGCGACGGACCCTCGGAAGAAAAGGGCTCCCTGCCTCTTCGTCAGAAGAATCTCCCCCAGGAACAGAACTGAAATCAAGGCAGTCCTCGACGTACGACCGTAATTGAACAACTGTTAAGTGAATCCGTCTTCCCCGTTGGCTTTGCTCGCTAGAAGGTCGCAAAAGGGGATCGCCGGACCCCCGGGGACCGCCGCCATGTCCAGCCGTCATAAATGTGAGTCGGTGAGTCCGAATTTTGATTGCGTGACCCCGCAACGGTCGTTCAGTGTGGAAAACGGCCGTCAGTCGCTTTTTTTCAGTGCCTTTGTAACTTTGGACGGTCACTAAATGAACCGCTGTGTACGCCCCACCTGTTCTGTTCCTTAACTCTGTCCCTCAGATCCGAGCCTATTATGGTGCCCAATTTCTTCCTTCCCCCACAACACCTGGAGGTCTCCATGAGATTTCTCAGCGCTTCCTCGAACTCTCCACTGGCTGCTGCAAATAAAGTAAGTATTATTTTTTTAAAAATTGTTTGATATAAAATGCAAGCCGCCCAGGGTCACTTGCAAGTGTGATCGGTAAATAAATAATCAATAAAATCAGTAGAGGAGCTGTTTGCATTTTCTCCTCTGCCTGATCTTCAGCCCTGAATATTATAGAGGAAAAAACTCTTGTTCTTCCCCAGATCTTGATAGGATTAATATCCACATAAACGTGGCTTCGTGAGGGAAAAGATCTCCCGCTAATCCATCCGATCCACTAAGGATCCTGCAAACGGGCCGTCAGCCCTTCGCACGTCGGCCGTGACACCAAGGCAATCCTGGAGTCAGAATTAGTTCAGCCTTCAACTCCCTGAATGCTTCAAAAGCCTGTGAGGGTCCTTGGTGCTCTCTGAGCTGGGTGGTTTTCTTGCAGACGTTTCATGACCCAACTAGGGAACACCATCAGGCTGGGGGGGGGGGGGAGTGCGGTTTGCGGAGGAGGAGGAGGAGGAGAAAGGCTGTGGGGATCTTGGTGTGCGCACTGAGCTTGTTTGTTTTCTTGCAGACATCTCATTACCCAACTAGGTAACATCATCAGTGCTAGGAGGCAGTGGGTATGTAGAGAGGAGGAGGAGGAGGAGGACTGGGGGGGTGGTCCTTGGTGCTGTTTTCTTGCAGACACTTCATTACCCTGCTAGGTAGCATCATCAGTGCTAGGAAGAGGAGGAGCGGGACTGTGGGTCCTGGATGCTCTCTGAGCTGGGTGGTTTCCTTGCAGACGTTTCATGACCCAGCTAGGTAACATCATCAGTGCTAGAAGGGAGGGGGGTTAGTGAAGAGAAGGAGGAAGATTCGGGGTCCTTGGTGCTGTCTGGTTGTTTTCTTACAGACATTTCATGACCCAACTAAGTAATATCATCAGGCTCAAAGACAGTGGGGTTTGTGGAGTGGAGGAGGGGATGAAGGGGAGGAGGAGGAGGAGAACTGTGGGGTCCTTGGTGCTCTCTGAGCTGGGTGGTTTTCTTGCAGACGTTTCATGACCCAGCTAGGTAACATCGTCAGTGCTAGAAGGGAGGAGGAGAAGGAAGGAAGGAAGGAAGGAAGGAAGGAAGGAAGGAAGGAAGGAAGGAAGGAAGGAAGGACGGACTGTGGTCCTTGGTGCTCTCTGAGTTGGGTGGTTTTCTTGCAGACGTTTCATGACCCAGCTAGGTAACATCGTCAGTGCTAGAAGGGAGGAGGAGAAGGAAGGAAGGAAGGAAGGAAGGAAGGAAGGAAGGAAGGAAGGAAGGAAGGAAGGACTGTGGTCCTTGGTGCTTTCTGAGTTTGGTGGTTTTCTTGCAGACATTTCATGACCCAGCTAGGTAACATCATCAATGCTAAGAGGCAGTGGGGTTTGTGGAGTGGAGGAGGAGGAGGAAGACTGTGTGAGTCCCTCCCTCCTATCCCACCATTATTATTTAGAAATTGTACTCTTCTGGGGGATATCCGACAGGTTTAAAAGACCTTCCCTTGTGGCTGTTTTACTCAATCTGGACAATTTCTGAGAGATCCTTGGTGCTCTCTGAGTTGGGTTGTTTTCTGGCGGACGTTTCACGACCCAACTAGGTAACGTCATCAGTGCTACTAGGGAGTGAGGTTTGCACTCATTTGTATATACAAAGAGCTTGCCTTGTCAGCGTTGATGAATTCCTTGATTAGACTATTATTTGCTGTTACCTTCTTCCTCTTGAGTTGGTGCTTCTTGTTTGGGGTGTTGTTTACGGTTGGTTGGCTGTTTTAAAAAAGCCAGCTGTTAATTTCCAGAGGGTATAGGGGGAAATGGATGGATTATATTTAAAGATATTTGAAGAAAGCCCGGCACAGCTAGGAGAGCGTATAAAGTTTGCAGAGACCAGGACGTTGGTGTCGTCAGCAGAAATTTATCCCTCATAGAAATTGTAAAATCATATAAATAAACCAGATATATCTAGAACTAAGGAGAAACATCCTGACAGTGAGAACAATTAACCAGGGGAACCACCTGCCTCCAGAAGCGGTGAATGCGCCAACACTGGAAGTTTTTAAGAAGAGACTGGACAGCCATTTGTCCGAAATGGTATAGGGTTTCCTGCCTGAGCAGGGGGTTGGACTAGATGACCTCCAAGGTCCCTTCCAACTTAATCATTATTATTATTATTATTATTAAATGTTGAGAGATTTGTCGCAGTTATGTCTTGGTTATGGGGCACAACTCAGCCTTGTATATTGAATTTTAGACTCTTTTCTCCATTGTGCGACCATCCCCATCTGCAGCCTTGATTGTTGTTGAAAACCTGACAGGTGTTCCTCATTCCGTTCATTTAGTGACCGTTCCAAGTTACAACGCTGCTGAAAAAAGCGACTTATGACCGTTTTTCCACACTTACGACCGCTACAGCATCCCCTGGGTCAAAATTTGGTCACTTGGGCAACCGACTCGTATTTATGACGGTCGCAGGGGTCATAAATACGATCCCCTTTTGCGACCCCCTGACAAGCAAAATCAACGGGGAAGCCAGGTTCACCTCACAACCGTGTCATTAACTGCAGTGATTCACTTAACAACTACGGCAAGAAAGGGCATTAAATGGGGCAAAACCCACTTAACCACTGTTTCACTTAGCAACAGGAATTTTGGGCACAATTGTCGTTAAGTCGAGAACCACCTGTCCAAAATGGAAGCGAAAAACAGAAGGCCTCAGGGAGGCTGACAGGGCATGGAATCTTCTAGAACAAGGGTCTTCAAACTTGGCCCTTTGATGCCTGGCTGAGGAATTCTGGGAGTTGAAGTCCACGAGTCATGAAGGGGCCAAAGTTTCCCCCATGCTGGCTCAGGAATTCTGGGAGTTGAAGTCCACGAGTCATGAAGGGGCCATAGTTCCCCCATGCTGGCTGAGGAATTCTGGGAATTGAAGTCCACGAGTCATGAAGGGGCCACAGTTTCCCCATGCTGGCTGAGGAATTCTGGGAATTGAAGTCCACGAGTCATGAAGGGGCCATAGTTCCCCCATGCTGGCTGAGGAATTCTGGGAGTTGAAGTCCACGAGTCATGAAGGGGCCACAGTTTCCCCATGCTGGCTGAGGAATTCTGGGAATTGAAGTCCACGAGTCATGAAGGGGCCATAGTTCCCCCATGCTGGCTGAGGAATTCTGGGAGTTGAAGTCCACACGTCATCAAAGGTCCAAGTTTGAAGACCCTTGTCTTCAATGAACCTAATTCATTTCATTCTTGAGTTTGGAATTAGCAGCCATCTCTCTGAGTAGGGAGTGTGTAAGCTAAAAATCCGAGGAGCAACCACTGTGTAAGTGATAAATCAAGAAAGCTTTGGGTTCCAAAATGGGTAATTTTAGAAGCAAAATCATTTATCGGTGCACATACCGTCCTGTTCTTTCCTTAAAGTGGCCAAAGTTGGAGTTGGCTTTTTTTTTTTTATAGTCCTCAGAAAGTTCTTTACACCGACCTCATAAATCCAGGGTAGATTTCACCCAGGCGAGTGACGTGCAGGCTGTCATTTCCACCCAGAGCAGATTTAAGAGGCACCTCCTGGCCTCTGGGGAAATCTATAAAGAGCATTGGCAAAAGAGGGGAACATCTTGCTTGGGTTTAAGCAGAATTAGACCTTTAATGACCCTGAAGGAATGATGGCCAAGATCAGAGAGGCGTGAACTTCTCTTGGACGGAGATTCCTGAGGTGTTTAACAGGGACAGAAAACGAAAAGGAAGGAACAGAAAGATAGAAAAATTCTTGCTTTAGAACGGGGGGGGGGGGGTGTTCCAACCTTGGTGACATTAAGCCTTGTGGACTTCAGCTCCCAGAATTCCCCAGCCAATATGATGATAGGCTAATTTAAAAGGCTAAATCTTGCTTTTTGGATCTTTGGATTCTTCTGCTTGGGCAGGGGGCTGGACTAGAAGACCTCCAAGGTCCCTTCCAGCTCTCTTCTCTTCTCTTCTCTTCTCTTCTATTCTATTCTATTCTATTCTATTCTATTCTATTCTATATTCCATTCCATTCCATATTCTATTCTATTCTATTCTATTCTATTCTATGTTGTTGTTAATTGCGAAGTCGTGTCCGACCCATCGCCACCCCATGGACAACGTTCCTCCAGGCCTTCCTGTCCTCTACCATCTTCTGGAGTCACCTCATTCTCTGTCGTTCCCTTCTTCTCTTGCCCTCCATCTTTCATTCTATTCTATGTTTCTATTCTATTCTGTAATTCTGTTGTATTCTATTCTATTCTGTAATTCTATTCTATTCTGTATTTCTATTCTATTCTGTTCTATATTTCTATTCTGTTCTATTCTATTCTATATTTCTATTCTATTCTATATTTCTATTCTATTCTGTAATTCTATTGTATTCTATTCTATTCTGTATTTCTATTCTATTCAATTCTGTATTTCTATTCTATTCTGTCCTGTCCTGTCCTATCCTATCCTATCCTATTCCATTCCATTCCATTCCAAATTTTCTATTCTCTCTGCTTGGACCTCCATGGAAATTCTATTCTATTCTATTCTATTCTATTCTATTCTATTTGGACTCAAGAGGTCCACAAGGTACTACTGCCTTTTGAGTTTCTCCTGGGGAAAAAGCCAGCCTTTCAACCCAGAGGCCATTAGCCTTCCCTCGCTCCAGTTCCCTAATGGAAATATTCAACCTAATTGTATACAGGAAATCCTCTGCTTACGACCACAATTGAGCCCAAATTTTCCGTCGCTAAATGAAACATTTGTTAAGTGAGTTTTGTCCCATTTCACGACTTTTCCTGCCACCGTTGTTAAGTGAAATCCCTGCAGCTGTTAAGTGAGTAACCCAGTTGTTAAGCGAATCTGGCTTTCCCCATTGACAGAAGGTCGCAAAAAGGGGAACACGTGACCTGGGGACACGGCAACGGTCATAACTACGAGTCAGTTGCCAAGCTGACTCCGAATTTCGATCACAGGGATGCTACGAAGGTCTT